TGGCAGACAGACGCGCGCGCGGGACCCAGGCCTGCCGCGCGTCAGGGCTTCCGACTACCACTAAATATCCATATACAATAAACAACTCCTAATGGTTCTAACCCTTCTCTTCCTATACGGAATTGGGCGTGATGATTGTAGTACTCTGAGCACACCGACGGCTTAGAGCTCTAGAGATTGAGCAGCTTGAGACGCCAGAGTCGGGCGAAGTGACTGACAGGACGTAAAATAACCACCTAAAGTATGCTACAGGAGCATATAACTGTTGTTTAGGCCTAGCACAGCCTATTTTAGAGGTCCATCTAGATACTCAACATAAATTGTAACACTAAGGCAGTCTGCCATCGCGATAGCCGTCACCGCCATGGTCTTGTCAAGTTGTTTTTTTCTGCCTCACGCTCTTGGTGGACTCGCTGCTGGGCCCGCCCACGTCTTGTGCGCAATTCACGGATAGAGCAAAGGCAGACATGGGCTGGAGCCCACGAAATTTAACGGTGGACACCCACTAGCCGGAAGAGACAGCTTTTAGAGTTTCCTGTAGGCTCGTTGCCTCACTAAAACTTGCCCAACCCAATCTGTCTTCTGGAAACATCGGCGTTGTTGGCCATTTTACTTCGACAGTCTCACGCACTGGGATCAAGAATCTCGACGGCAAACACGGACTGAGGCAAGCAATGGCAACTGCTTGCAAAACCACTTGTAGGTAAAAACTACTTCAACCGAATCCGCCTTTCCTGACGTCTGATTTGGGAACCATCGTGTTATCGACCATTGGGACCTCGCGTCAGTGTCGTATCTCGAAAATACCAGCGCTTTCCAATTAAGTTTTTTTAGCGATGCCTCACGAAAATCCCAGGGGGAATAAAACGACAGCTGCCTTGGTATATACAGCGGAGACCCGGGTGACGAGCAGCCTCATCGACGAGCATTTCAGGTAATGAGCGAGCCACTAGCAAAACATTTGTTTAGATTGACGAGCTCCCGCTCAGTTAACGAGCTATCAGTGCGTGTTTGTGCCTGTGTCCACCGTTGAGTCTTGACCCCAGGGCGTGGGGGGTCCTCGGTCGTCTGCAGCCGATCAGTGCACTGATGCAGTTTGATTGGCTACTTTTCACAAGGCGAGTGTTTCACATGGCGAGCTCGGTACCGGAAGGATTAAACTCATTAATCTAAGTTCCACTGTATAGTTTTTATGGGTTCCAGTGCCCAGGTAACATCAATTTTGCATCATTAAATACGCCGACAAGAAGCTTCCTCTGATTTATAACGGCGGAACTGTATTTCCTGCAGTTTGGGGTACTGTCTTTACTTAAACCTTCCAGTGAAATCGGCATATTCCAACTTATTCAAAGGTAACAAAATCGCCCTGTGAGGTACAATAAATCATGAAGCGTCTGCCAGGCGTCTTTAGAAAAACAGCTACCTTTGACCTTGGAGGTGGCAGTGCGATATAAATCTGTGTCGACGACTTGCTCTTGATCATTTCAATCCAAACACAAGCCCGCCTGAGCCAACGATCGTCTCTGGCAGGTTAAGATCAGCTGTGTTATTTGCCAGAAGAGTAGGCAACGCCTGCGGGCGAAGTCTTTGGCCAACAGTCAAAGAACATCATCAACCACCGTCTGCGCATACTTAAGCCACACCAATTGCACGAAACACAAGCTCAGTGGTGTACAAAAGTCTGCAAACATTTATGAAAGCGCGGCGATGCGGCGAGGTTTCGTGAAGACGGATAAATATGGAGGGCAGTGGTGAGGGTAAACGCGACCAAACCAGCGAAACCACCAGACAAAACAAGCTGGTCGTGAAATTTAGCCCCCATCTTGGAGGAGACTTCCATCAAAACGGCAAATACTCAAACCACAAAATATGATTTGGGAAATTGAAGGCCTCGCTGGTGTCTTCTCGTCTGATAAGCGGTCACTTTGGCAGGGCCCAAAAGTTCGTCGGAAATTACTCGAGGAATCCTGAGTTGAAGTCCTCAGTGGTAAGCAAAGATCTGGTTTGTATGCCACCAGCTCCAACCAGCAGCAGTATAGAGTGTGTATGGAAAGATATTTCAGCAGGAAAACAGTTCTGTTCTCTAAGATTGGGTAATAAACCTTAATTTCAACAAATGCCAACAAATGGTCACAAGAGAGTGACACTGGTGATCAAAGTTCATAGTTGTTATGGACCATAACTACGACCCAACCTTTCCGCCTAAAGAGAGTTTGATAGAAGGGACTGAGAAGTCTACGGCTTTTGTTTCTGATTGACGGAGTGCTAAAGTTAAGTCGCATGTTATAGGCTTAAAACTAGGAACTGACTCATGATTACACACAAGGGTTGATGCTTTGGCACCGTGGCTCCAGTCATTCCGACAGTCAGAAAGGTTACTCACTTGTTGTTCACGGTTTCGTTGGTGTTTTTGTCCATGACAGAACGGGGATTGGAGAAGAGAAGGAAGGAACTCTCGCCATGATACCGACCCATACCCGAGTTTCCAACACCACCAAAGGGCACACCGAGAGCTAAAAATGGATTATTCATTAGGATGGGTC